AAACATAAAAATATATTATTTTATTTTTATACAGAAGATAAAAAATTTTAACTAATTTGCTTCTTCCAGAAGTTACGCCTAGATGAACACTATTAGTAGGGAAACTCAATTTACTATTCTGTTCTACAGAAATCTAGTCAACCAACTAGATGACAAATAATTTTAAAGATAAAAACAAATTTATCCGCATTGCAAATCTCCCATATTTGAAGTAAAATAAAATAAAAGCAGGAGGAAGTATAGGAAAACTAAAACTAAACACAAAAAGTTTAACTGTATAAACAAATCTTTTATACTCTAATCGAAATAAAATTAAAAACTGACAAAAAATATTTATATTTTACTACTCAAGCGGGGAATAAATGCATGATTTAACTTGTATTTATAACGAATATACTATACGTACAATCTAAAAAGAAGAAAAAAATTAAACTACCCGCATAAACACAAAATTTAGGTTGGAGGCGTTTCATAAATATATTTATTGATTTGATTACCGCAAAAGAGTTTTCTGATGATTAGCTAAACTATTAATTGCTTGAGTTAGGGAATCTTATTTTTGAAGATGTGACCCACATAAGATAATTCGTTTAATTTCACGTTTCATAACGTATTATTTTAAAATAAACAGTCGTTCACAAAATATAAATGGCGTGCTTGTCGCGTAATTAGTGTCAACTAGTAAAATATATTTTCTAAACCTTTAGTTAAAATGCTTTTTTAACCGTATTATAATTTACTCATCAGTTCTAATTAAAAAATGATCTCAAATATATTTTTTACTAAAACATCTCTATAAAACGCATAAGTTTGAATTAGTTTGAATGGCATAAGTAATCAATATTAACCATTTAAAATATAAATTTACAGGTGTGGTAATGACGTGATGGATATTTGCAAGCTTTGCGAATGATGAATGATTTACATGATTTATTTATACAGTTAGTTATTTTAGATTCTCATAAAGAATAATCTAAAAAAAAAACCACAAAAAACTTATATTGGCATTAAGAGATAAATTGCAATTCCTGATCATATTACAGTAAAAAGTACTGGCTCTAAGCGTGCCAGTACATTTTACCGTAAAATCCAATTTGTCGATAAATTCTAAGGTACTAAAAATCTGATGTACTGAAATTTTTTACAGTAATTTTTTACCTTAAACTTTAAGTCTTAAGACTGATTTTCTCATTACAAAAAATTATGAAAAATTCTCAATATATCCTTCGATCGATATATTATGTTAACTATATTAATGATTTTAGCGTAGCATAACGTTAACGTATTTTTTCACAACTATTGATAGTTTTGAAAAAATTGACACTTTTTTTTATCACAAACAAGTTTCAAATGAATTTCTTATTGAGAAAAATTATATGAAATTCACAAAGCACCCTTCATTTTATTAACTATACATATGCTCCTTACGGTGCTCTTAACGAACTATATATATGCTCCTAAAGCCAGGGCACCTTATTGAAAAGCTCTGCTTCCTATGCCACGTTAACTATAGTGTTTGGTTATAAAGAAAAATCTTTAACCATCTTTATCTTAAAAGACTTCCTTATTGAAATCATTTTTAAGTGTAAAAGCGTTTAAAATTATATTGGCTCACCCTTATAAAATTTTCAGTCAATTTAACTTACCAAAAAATTATATCTAAACACATATAATGATCAGGAAGAGTATCAATTCGACAATGAAGTCGAATCGCAATTCTATTTATACGATGCTCATAATAATAAAATAATTTCTAAAAAGTAAGAACAAGTATAGAAAATAAAGGCAAAATGATTTGAAAAAGATTAAGTTAATTCATGGAACTATAGTTTAATGAGAAACATACGTATAACTAATTATTTTTATAATGACAAAATAATTACGTATTATACAACTTTACTACTATAGCAGAACTGAAAGGTAAAAACTAGAATTTGAATTGACAGTTATACATTTAAGATTAGGATGAAAAGCAGAGAAAAACTGTTATGCGAAAAATAGCTTTGAATTCAAATATCCGGAAAAAGTCTGTAAAAAAAAGGAGTTTTCTGCATAACGATTAAAAACAGAAGAAAGAAAAATTTATTTTTAAACAGTATTTTTCTATAAAAAATTTTTTTTGTTTTTTTACAGAGTTTACAATTGTTTTAGACAATTATTTCTTACAATGTATACAGCAGTTTTTATTTATTCGTATAAAATGTATAAAGTAATATACGTCCTACTTACTTCATTGAAATAAAATTTTGTCTGGGCTTTACTTTTTTAGAAAAACCAGTCTTAAATTATAAAAAAAAAAAAAAAAAATTCAAGAGTTTCATTTCAAATGAAACTTTTTCTCCTATAAAACTAAATAACTAAACCTGGATAGAATACAAACTAACATATACAAATAGTTAGTATTAATTCACATGAAATCTTCAGACAGAGTATTAGTTAGAATCCAGTTAGCTTAGTTAGTAACTTAGTAAAGTATATTATTTGTTATTTTAGAGTGAGTAACACGATATATTTACTCTATATGTCAAAAAATATTGTATTTATTTTATTTAAGCTTAGTAAAACCCCGAAAGTAGAATATTTTTGAATCCAACAACCTGTAAGGAAACTCTCTGAGAAATAAACATTTAAGAGAAAATAGGACAAAAAGTTTCACCCCATCTTTCCATTTCGATAGCTTTTTTTCAGATCTTAAGTACAGAGTGGCAAAAAAAATTTAAGTAATAAAAAATAAGCTTTTTTTAATTTAGGATTTATTGGAAAAATTCGAAAATTTTACTTTTGTTTTTGCTTTACCTTATTAACTGAATGCGTCAGAAAAACTATATTTTCTAGCAGATTTGTTACTTACATACGGCTTGACCAAATTTAACGTAGACAAATATAATAGCATCCGAAATACAGTTACAATAACGGCACCTCCATTCAAGGTTATGATAGAAGGTATTAGAATTAATTGCATCATATTCGAAGAAAAAAATTCCGGTAAAATTACCGTTCTGTATGGTTATGACATTTCTGTTTAAAAAATAACGTAATTATGATTAATAAAACCAAAATATACGGTATTTAAACCATTCATTTGTTATTTTTCCATTTATATGGAAGCGGTTTACATTTGGTATATGTGTGGTAATGCTTGTTAATGTTTGGTAAAAAGATTTTTTCGATTAATTCACTTTTCAGTTTTGTTTTTACTAACTGTATGGTAATAAGTACTATAATTTTAAAAATCAGAATTTCCGTTAAACCATTTCCATGTAAACGGAAACATTACCAATTGAATGCTTTAGATACCATATATTTTGTTTTTATTACCATAATTATGTTTTATTATTAGTAGTATCAAAACTGTATTTATCGTACAGTAAATCATTTTTTCAGAATTTTTGTCCCGGTAAATATGCAATTGAAAATATTGTACTTACTGTGCAATTTAGGCGAAAACTATTAGGTTATAGTTGTCGAGTAAGAATAACGCTGTGTAGAAAAACGCCTAAATCTGCGAATGTTTATTCCATACATATATGCGTCGAAAAATACGCTGCATCCTTATTATTTATATAGTTTTAAACTTAAAATTTTAGGGCCATTTTCTAAACTGTATCTACTAAAGAATTGTGTAAACAAATACAAGGTGATTCTACAGATGACATAGTACCCATCTAGATTATCAATAATTACCATAAAACATAGGATCGCATTCTACTCTAACAAGCAAGAAAGATGAAAATTTGAATTTCACAGAAGAAAGCAATAGGACTTGATCAAATAGAAAGCAATAGAACAAGACACAATAGAAAGCAATAGGACGAAACCAAAAATTGCGCAATCTATTTCATTGATCAGAAAAAAAACACATAGCAGGCACTCAAAGTGGTTGCGACGCGAATCGTTCTACAGTTCGCACCAGTGAGGAAATAACTACTGCACCCTTTCGAAAATTCCTGATTTTGAGTTAATGGACAATGAGTAATGGAGGAACTCTGAAACTGCTTTGTTTTCTTTTTAAATGTTTACCCTAACTTTAGTTGATATTCGAATCCAGGAAGTTGATATTTGAAAGGTGATATTTAGTTGATATTCGAATCAACCGGTTCTATTGCGCAACGAACTCTGCTTGTTTCTTTTGCCCGCTTCAAAACCAGTGTTTGCTTTAATTTGAAATACATCATGGATTTATATAATAAGCTTTGTTAGAGTCGTGGTGGCTCAGGGGGTAAAGCGTTCACCTTCCAATGAGGTGAACCGGGTTTGAATCCCAGTGATGAGTGGTTGATTCAAATTCAGCACCCGGCTTGCACTGACCACAGTGATGACGTAAAATATCCTCAGTTTTAGACGGATCATGGGTTAGAGTTCACTTTTTGTTAGACTAACAAGGAAAGGTTTTCTTGGTTTTTCTCTCCGTGTAACGCAAATGTGGGTTAGTTTCGTCAAAAAGTCCTCCACGGAGACATATATCTCACAATACTTCTCGATTAAGTTCAAAATTTCAAGGCTACGGAGTCGAACACTAGTAGACGTAACCCTAAAATTTGGTCTGCTGTTCAATGACGTTTATGAAATTAAAATGAAATAAACTTGGTTAACAATAAACTTCATTGAGTGAAAAGATGACTAGTTGTCAATTTTCCCTACAACAATGATTTTTACTATGAGATCTTCAGCTTAGTACACAAACATCTGATGCACTAATAATTTCATGTGCTACTTGAACAAAATAGTTTAGATGATTTAGGTTCGTTAAACAAAGAAGAAAAGCCATAATATCAATATTTTTAGGTTTTCAATGTGATCCAATATGAACCAATGTGGCTCAATGTTCTATAATAAATATTGCTCATCCGCATGGGTATTATCACTCCTCTTATTTTGTAAAAAAAATTAATCCACCTTATTGAATATTTATTCAATGGTTATACACAGTTTTAATACTCCCACAGTTTGATACTTGCACACTTTAATAATTATGCAATTTTACTTTTTATATATTTCAGATTATCTGCGATATGCTCCATGCTTAAAAAATGTATCTACAGATCATCGGAAATGTGCAAACCAATATAAACGACTGGCTAATAACCATGGAGGAAATCCAGAGGAACAAACTACCGCCAATATTAATTATGGATTAAAAATGCATTGTTGGTATGTATCGCTTTAATTTGTCATCACGGAATAGTATAATAAAGTTAAAGTATTATTATACTTTAACATATATTTAACCCTTTTACAATTTTTAAATTCCCTTAATTGTAGATTTTTCTGCTGCACAAAAAGACTTTTATTAATGAAATAGTTCAGAGGAACTTTCAAAATCAGGGTTGGACAAAAGTATCAAAACAGTTTCCTTTATCAAAATGTATTTTTAAAGATTATTTATGTGTAACCTTTATCTGCACGCATCTGCTGTTTTTCACTCCTACTGTAACATTTTTTCTACTATAAATTTTTATGATAAATAATGAATATACATGATAAATATTTAAAGTCAATAGCAATTATTGAGTTTTATGAAAAATATTGAATTCTTTCAAGCTAGATATAGAATTGTATTATTATGAAAGCTATTGATTATTGATTATCAATGTACTAGATGATTATTTTCAATGTACTTGGGGCAATGTACAATGTACTTATTTTCAATGTACAATGATTATTTTCAGTGTACTTAAAACGGGTGAACTCCATTTGGGAGTAATCTAGCTCTCAAAACAGAATTCTTACTATACATTAAAGAAGATTTAAGAATTTATTAGATACGTGTTTACTTGCGTGTTTAAACCTTTAAATTTAATCGAGCAATGCGTGACAGAATATTTAAAAAATAAGTTAGGTAAGTGTAGAGCTTGTAACTTTTTAAAAAGATATGATCTAAATCAACGTATGTCTCACTTACATTTTAGTAAACATACAATATATTGGTAAATAAAATCGCTAAAAATTCAAATGCTACAGAAGCAGTATCGAAGCATGTTATATCCCCAAAACACTAAATTACATCTTCAATTAGTACACTTTTTCTAGAAGTTTTCTCAAATGAAAAAGCCAATCAATTAGTCTTTAATTAAATTTTAATTAGTTAAATTTTAAAAACTATGTTAAATACAAAAATCTTTGCAATGTTAAATGTTTTAGTAGTATCAATATATTTTAAATCAATAAAACATCAAATTACAAATTATCTATTATTTATGGAATCCTTCTCAAAAGAAAGTTCAAAACAAATTCGTTTGTCTTAATTAAAAGTACATGAATCTTCTCTTATATATATTGCGCTGATTAATTCCTTAAAGAACCACTCAATACCAAAAGAAAAATACATAATATAGCATTTAATCAAACATGTAATTTAGAGATTAAAAATGTTCTCAATATCAAATGTTAAAGGGGCATTGTAAAAACATGTCAAATCAATAAAGCAATAAATAGAATTTTCAAGCAGTTTACTCTTTTTTTAATTTTTCTTAAAAGAAAAAGCATATCCATTAGTTTTAATTAAAATTATATGAAACATTTTCTATCAGTTTAACTGCTACTATACTATTTTCAAAACCACTTGATGCTAAACGGTCAATAGATAATATGCATCAAATATATATGTTATATAGACAAATACATAAAATATTATAGATTACATAGTCAAATTTAAAATGTATTAAAAATAACTAATATAGTGGAAAATAAAAATATTTACAAAAATAAATATAATAATAAATATTGTTAAGACATGATAAATTCTTAAAATACCTAATACACTTCCAGTTTCTTACTCTTAATAGAATTTCTCTCAAAAGAAAAAAGCGATCAATTAGACATAATTACAATCGTATGAAATTTCATTTAAACATTCAGCAGTTGATTTCTTTGTTATATAGCGGATTTAATATCGAAAGATAAGCACATATGTGTCAAATAAATGATATATCATATATTTAAATACTTATTGGAAAATCAAAATACAACGTTGTGTGAGTAATGCCAAATCTTCAAAACTCCAACTAACATCTTGAAATCGTCCACATTTCATGGAATTTTTCTCAAAATTAAAAGCTGATCAATTAGCATTGATTAAAAGTGTATGAAACTACGCCTATCTATTTATCTGTTTATTTATTTATAATAGAACTACTTAATACCAGTGGATAAAATCTTGTTCTCAGAGATGGATTAAATTTAACAAAGAAGAATGTCAGAAGGCATTTTGCTGACACAAAGTCATCAATTTTTCTGAAAAACTTTCACGGATGTTTATTTAAGGAATGGCGCAAGCCTTTGTTTCTTCTGAGTGTGCATACAACGAAGAGAGATGATTATAATTTCTTACAGAACAAAAGTTATACTACTTATAGTCAGAGAAAATTGTTTCCGTAACCGAAATACTAATTACACTTTCAAATTGGCCACCTTTTATTAATTTTTCCTCAAAAGAAAAAAAAACAATCAATTAGACATAATTAAAAGTGTATAAAATTAATAATAATAGCAAAAAATAAACACATCAAATACATTTATCATATAGTCAAATATATGTTACATATTGGTAAACTAAAATACATATTTATATGTTTTGGGAGTAATGTCAAAACATGTTAAATCTTCAAAACACCAACTAACATCTTGAAGCCATCCTCACTTTAAGGAAACTTTCTCAAAAGAAAAGGCGATCGATTAGCCTTAATTAAAAGTGTATGAAACTACGCCTATCTATTTATCTGTTGGTTTATTTATTATAGAACCACTTAATACCAGTGGATAAAATCTTGTTCTCTGAGATAGATTAAATTTAACAAGGAACTGAGAATGTCGGAAAGCATTTTGCTGACACAAAGTCAGCAGTTTTTCTGAAAAACTTTCGCGGAGGGTTATTCCGTTCAAAGTATGTTTATTTAAGGAATGACGTGAGACGTTGTTTGTCCTGAGTGTGCATACAACGTAGAGATGATTAGAATTTCTTACAGAACAAAAATTTAATTGCTTATAGTCAGAGAAAATTGTTTCCATCTGCCATGCAATAATAATGTAAAAAGCATATTTATATTTTGCCCAAATTAAAGTACCTAAATTGGAGTATGAATAATTAAACGGAACTCCATTTAGAATAAATTAAATATCTGAATAATTAAATAAGAATAATGCTTTTATTCAAATGGTAAACAGCGTGAAGCGAATAAACTAATTATTCAAATATTTAATTGGTTCTACAGCCTATCTGCAATAAATAGAATATGCTATGTAATTAGTAAATAATTCTTAATTTCAAAACATATTTAATTCAGATTTATTTCTGTAATGTGGCTTTCACCTTTTTTTGCTTTAATAAATATCTAGTATTTAGTAAGAATTATATTTATTTTTTAATTACGATGTTGTTTTAATCTCTACTTAAAGACGTGTAAAAATGTATTGATGCATAAAGAAATGTATTAATAATTCAGCATTTCCTTCATATATTCATAATTACTTTTTATAAAATAAAAAGATATTTTTGTTTTAAACATATTTATAATTAATCTCATATCTTTAGCTAAACAAATGCATATCTTTTTCTAAGTTTTTTATCATGATATATAAATAATTTAACTTGATATGAATTTGATAAGTAAATTCTGATTCATCACATTTTAAAATTTAATTTATTTTGTGTTTTTAAATTATTTCATCCACATCAATGGAATTAATAAATGGTAGTCATGTGTCTACAGCCTCAGATTTGTGATTTTGAAGCAAATTAAAAGCAAATTAACCTTTGATATTAGTTAAGTAATAATTATCAGTTACGTAAGTTTGCTATGGTATAATTCATGAAAGAGGATCTCAAAGAAAAAAAAACAGTCGATGTTAGAGAGCGGAAAATCAATAAAACTAAAGCATGAGCTTCCTTTACCACATTTAAAGAAAACGAAGTATTTGAATCTAATAACTATTAAATTTTCCTACATTTTTTTAATAAGTGATTTTACTTAGAAGATTAAATGGCTTAGCAGACAAAATGTGCACCATAATGCTGTTCATTAGATACTTAATAATTGTAGCAGAAAATATTAAGATATTTGGGTTCAACTTTTCGATATTTTAGTTAAACATGTGTACCAATTTCAGCAGAATTAGTCTGAGTGTTTTTAAGTAAGTGTTGAATCTAACATTAAGTGAAAAATATATCAGACTAAAAATATTTTTACTACTTTGTTTAAAGTAAGGTAAATGCGCATTTCACACCAAAATGATACCTGCAAATGTGTCTGAAAGTATCGGTAAAAATGCATAATAAAATATCTCCATTATAAGTTTACTAATTATACAAAGAATTTAAAAAAAATATTCGAAAATGTAGTATGGATAAATTTACGCTTTTGTCAGGAATTCACAATGCCAACTTATAATAAATTATTGTTTCGTTTCGTTTTTTTTTCTTGTTATTCTATAATTATCTTATTTAATTTTCTTACTTTTATCTCAGTTGACTGCTAAAAAAGTCTGAAAAAATGCGACAGAACACTTCTTTTGAAATTCGTTGCTCAGTAAATTACAAATTTCTGATTCCAAAACTATCTGGAAAATAATTGTCGATTTTAGCAATAGGGTAAATAAAGATTTGGAAATATTCAAAATATTTTTTATGTTTTTTTAATTATGTTACAAAATCTTTAAAAATGTATATCTTTTTATTTAAATATGTCGTATTACAGTGAAATTTACCAAATATGTACTTACAATATGATTGAAACAAAAAAGTTTAAGCTATAAAATTTTTATTTGGAACTCTTCTACATTTTTTTAATATTTTGCTAGAATAGCATTCAATTAAACCTTTCGAAACTACGTTCAGCAAATCTATTTACTGGTAAACAAACAATATTTCATCAAAATTAGAACAGAAAAAGTGCAACCATTACACTTTAAAAAATTCCGGATTAAATTATGGTATAAAATACCGGTACTTTGGGTGCATTATCTGTACATACCATTTTAACAGTAAATTATTATACCGTGATTTTTACAGAATTAATCATTTAATAAGAGTTATTTAGTGATTTCACGATAATTAGTACTGTTAAAGTTGCAGTATATCAGATTTTTTTTTGTTCCATAACATGGTCCGGAAAAAAATGGATTTTACGATAAAAAAGGATCGGAACCCCAATTGC